TGAGATTGCGTGGGCGTATGAACTCGTTTGATCAATTTTTAACCTTCTTCATCGTATGCTTTAGGTCATTATTTTATTAAACAAGGAACTATCCTTGAAGATTTAACTTATTTACGATGCATTCTCTTTTAAAATATATAGACAAACATATAGATCCATAATGAATTTAAAATATGAAAAATGTGAATTAGAAAGGGAAAAATTGAAGGGAAAAGAAAGGGAAGAAAAAAATAAAGGAAGAGAATTATTAAAATCTACAAAACTTTGTACCTTTACTGATTTCAAAATTCAAGTAGAAATGATCTAATGCAATATTCGGAGAGTTTTTCAATTGAATGTGTGTATCTTGTATGGACGTGCTCTAAAAAATATGCACATCAATTTTTACTTGCAATTAAATGTGAAATATGATATAAGTAGATAATATTATTCGTTATCTACCAATTTTAATAAGATTTGACATCCGTATGTGATAATTTACACTTTCTCCGTTGGATATCTAATATTTAAAAATTAATTATCCTGTGTTTCCTTGCCGAATTATAATATGATATAAATTGATAATATTAATACATTTTCCCACATAAATTATCTATCGATTACCAAACCTCTATAACAGTCCATATTGTAATTCTTGTGATAATATACACTTTCCATTGGGATATCTATATATTAATGATAATAAAAAAATGATTCCTATTAACTATGTGTTTATTTATAACTAAATATTTTTCCATGTAAATTATTAAAAATTCCATAATCATCTATATTATGATTCTTGTGATATACTTTACAATTAGTGATAATATTTAAAAATAGATCCTTACTAACTTTGTGTTTACTTATCGAATCATAATGTTACATAAAGAAATAATATTCAAATTACTGAAACTTTATAACAATATTATAATTCCTTTGATAATTTACACTTTCCATTTGGAATACCTATATATTAATGCTAATAAGAAATGATTCTTACTGACTATGTGTTTATAACTAAGTATTTTTCCATGTAAATTATTAAAAATTCCATAATCATCTACATTATGATTCTTGTATACCTTACTTTACCAATACTTTGGACCTTAGTATAAAGTACTACTTACTTGATAATATTTAATAATAATAACTCTGTGTTTATTTGCCAACTCACAATGTAATAATATTGAAAGAAATAATATTAACATCAACTGCTGGAATTCCACGATAATTATTATTATAATTCTTGTGATATTCATATTTTCTCTATAATATTCAAAAACTGATTCTTAATAACTCTGTATTTGCTTGTCGGATTCTTTGCATCAGTCATAGCAACATGTGTACGGTTTTGACCTGGTATGCGATTTGATATGGGTCTTTCCTACTATTATTATCGAGTGCTTGGATCCCAAGGATAATATATTATAAAATCGAAGCCTCGATAGTCAGTCGATAGGAGCGATAATAACGAGGAATAAAAAAGAACGAAAGGCACATCGTTCAATCTTTCCTTGGTCCTTTCGTTGTCCCTCGGCTCCTATAGTGTCTAAACATTTCTCCATTTTATCGAGAAAATGAAAGTTTACAAGGAAATCCCACGTCTGTAGGCAAACCGATTCTTTTATAACGGTGGTTTCTACTTATGAAAGGTGGTTTCTACGTGTGAAAATGAAAAGAAAGAGTGCTCGACTGAACATAGGTAGCAACATCGTGATAAAAAATGACTTTTGCAAGGACGTATTTTGTCCCCCTCTATTTCTACACTATGCTATCATAGTTATCCCCTTTTTTTAAAACCTTTTTTACAAACCTTTGTCGATAATCCCGTCTCTCTCTCTCTCTCTCTCTCTCT